TACCCACTCTTGATCACCTTGTTCACTGAAGTCATAGCTGCATGTGTTTGGCCCACTAGGTGAACGGATCTGGAAAGGTGTCAACTATTTCCCTTCGGCCCCAGATATCTGACTTGGTTTTCTGTACTCTTTTTGATATACCCTACATTGTGACCCTCTCTGAAAATGTTTTCTTCCTTATGGCAGACTGAGAGATAAGCCATAACTATTCTATCTAATACCCCCATGAATTACTGGACCTGTAGACTGGAGCAGTGGCGAAATTGGTCCAGTTTCCAGTTTATTCATGCAATTCAACAATTTTTGGATCCAACTCACACAAATGAATAGTGAAAAGGATTTTGTTTAAGTTATACAACTCTTCTGTACACCATTCACTCCACAATGTTGACATTCAGTTAAAGAGGACCAGAACTGTGGTAGCTGTGCCTGAAAAAAATTTAAAGAAGTACAGCCAAAGCTCTTTTGGCTGTACTTCTCCTGAGGATCACAGGAGTGTAGTTCGTTCTGCACTACTGTGACCCATTTTCAGCTGACAACAGGCTGAAGCCCACTGTAAGCTGATGTCACTCAGCTGGCCCAGGCTGGGGAAAGATTCGACTTTAAAGTCAGGATCCACCTCAGATTCTGGAGCTGCACCTGGCTCAGCCTCTCAGCAATCCACTGAGAGCCTGAGCCAGCCACTCCCTCCCTGTCCACAGCCCAGTGCTCCAGTGAGCGCGGGGGGCAGAGCAGAGTGACTGAGAGTCACCACTCTCTGCTAAGAGTGGTGGTGAAAACTCAGTGGTCATGTGATTGCTGAGTTCTCACACTTACATCCCCCAAGCCAGACTTTCAAATTGTGCGACTTACAGTGAAGTTGCCGATTTCAGGTGCGATTTGCAAGACATTTGACACAGATGTCTATGCAAATTGCACGAAAAGTAGTGCATGTACTACTTCAGAAATCGGTGCATCTCCGACCAAGTTGGAACCGCAGTAATTTGACCGCTGTAATTGCAGACAAAAGAGTGCAATTTGGCACACGATTTGCAAGTCACATGGCATGCAAATCGCATGCCAAGTCTCACCCAGTGCGACCAGGGTGGACAGATGCAGCATCGGACCAATGCTGCATCCACCTAGGTAAGTATAACTTAGAAAAAACAAAACAAAACCCAAACTTCCCTTTTAACTGAGGATAAATGAACAGTCACCAATTTTGCTGGTAGGCTACATGCAACTAATTATTTCCCCATTACTGACTTACAATGCCTTATTTTGCATTGTGTCTGTCTGTGTGCTCATTTCAAGACCTCTGATGACCAGTGGCCCTGGCTGGTGGCCTAGTATTTAAAAAGCAGCAGGAGCAGCTTAGAAACCACAGATCTGAAGAATGAATGAAGCAGAGGCATGGTAATCCTGGAAATGCAGGTACAAATTCCTCTCCAGTAAGGAGAACAATGAGCAGCATAGTAGTGACTTCACTAAATATTACTTCAAAACTCATGAGCCTAGCAGGGTATTAAATGTTACAATGCAGACATACAGTTATGAGGATTGAAGAACAAGATGTGCACTGCTATTTTTTGGGGGGCCATGTTATTACTTTTATGTATGATGGCTGTATGGAGTTAAGATACATACATGAATGAACTGGATGAATTTCAATCCATGTATGGGGACAATGGTTTGTACAGAAGTCTATCCACTGATTCTGTACAGCCATACAGTCAGATAAATACTGTTCGCCAGCTGATCAATGTATTCTGACCTGGGGGGACGTCTCCCCAGCCCCAGAATGCAATAGCTCAGTGGGAGTGATTCCCTCATCTACCTTGAATGTGTGGATGGGGAAATCTGGTCAGTTTTTTATTCGTACAACCTGCTGGTTGAATGAAAAATTGGAATCATCTGTGGGCTGCATTAGGCTGGTATGCAGCTGTATTAGAAATGTGAGTAGTTGTGTATTGCAGGGGCATATTTTCAGTTGACCATTCTTCTTGCTTTGACTTGTATGTGTATGCCAAATTTAGCTTACATAATAATTTAGTGAGCGAGACAAGGTTATGCCAGATGTTTTATAAACATCATGATAGATTCACATAAGGGCTTACTTAGACTAGGGATCATTGTGCTGTATTGAGTTTCATAACATTACTTCTACATTTCCATTGCATGTCTAGTTATACATGGCACCCCCCTATCCCTCCCCCCCTCATCATTTGGAGCACCATAACTGAAATTCTGTACATTTCATATTTAAATTACACATCTTTATTAAAATGAACACCTGTCACAAACCAGGGCAATTTAAACTAAGCATATGATGAAAATTGTAGGCATAGGTTCCCATTAGAGAAAATCATGTGTAAAATGTCTTGCTTTGCGTTGTGTTTCTCTTTGTGTAGCTATCTTGGTGGATGCACGGGGATTTTCTTTGTTTTTCTAGACCCGTAGACATAGGCAGATTTCCACTTTTCTTGGCTTCGCCTACCATATTTTCTGATCTCCCCTAATAGCTTTTGTTTCATCCTTTCACTAAAGGATGAAACAAAAGCTTGCAGCAAAGTAGGGGTATGACAGAGGTCAACTTGTATTGGAGATGTCACAGGTAACGTCAACTGCATATATCTTTCAAGCTATTGATTTGTTTAAAATGTGTTTCACTTAAAATTCCACTTTGCGCATTTTTTTTCATAATATGCTCAAATTGAATTTAATAGATGTTTACTACTTGAACGAACTGTCTTAATTGTACCTGTGGAACGAGAAGATACCCATACCCATGTACTTCTAGTCAGCATTTTGGATAGTGTAGGGAATGATTACAACCCTTGTCAATTTTTTTTACTGTCTGTGTTCTATTGGGGAGTTTTCCCCTCAACTTGAAGCCACATTAGGAAGTGTAGCACTACCCCCTTAGGAGTTGCTGAAGGTTTTGAGTCCTCTTATAGTCCTGCATAGCCAGGCAACACGCATTTCTACACTGACTTGCATTTAGGAGACAGCAAACAGTCCTTGAGCTTGGTTTTATGATATTTATTAGGGGGATTTCAACTTGGATAGGGTTAATGGTGTACGGGATCCTCAATGGAACTGAGAAACCGAAGACTGAACTTCCTGAACTATGTACAGTGGTTACAGCAATCCGTCTCTTCTGGAAAGCTAACTAACATCTCTCCAGATAAATCCTCTTCTTTACCCAGCTGTCTGGAGGAATCCCTAAGCAGGGGATCTGGTGTCTGCCATGTAAATAGTGAAACAGTCCTGGGTGACAGGCTAATCCAGCTTCCTACTAGAGTGCCTCCTTCCCACATCTGGCCCAGGGGGTGCAGGTATACTCACTTAGTCCTTTTCCTGTATTGCTGTTGGGTTGGTGGCTGCTACCAGGCCTTCTAGCTGGGCTGCTCCTTCCCTGCCACAGAGGTGGTCCTCTCTCACGGGGAAGGTGAAGCCCTAAGCTTTCAGCCTTCTCAGGTCCTTCTGCATGGAAGTGAGCCCCTCACCCATCTGGGCCACCTTCCAGGCTCCTGCTCCTCAGCCTCACATCTTCCTCTTACACCCGAATTCTCTTCTTGCTGCTGAGCAGGCTCCTTTACTCTTAAAGGTTGTCCTGGCCCCTTACAAAGCCTTCTGTTGGGGACTGGCCTGGATCCACCAGGAGTACAGACCAGCCACTCCTTAGATCCACACCACTGCTTCTAGACCTTTCTTCAAAGTTCTAGAGCAGGGGGAAATTCCATAGGGCCTCTCAGCTCAGAGGGTGCTACAGAAGTAAGAGGAAATTACCCCAAAGTAAAGAAATGTCTAAGTAGACTTACCCTCTTAGACTTTTGTCACAAAAACAGGTTCCCCGTTAGGAGAATTCCCTGCTATGTCTTTACACATGAAACATTTTGGATTTCAATGACTTTCTGTCCAAGTGATAACAAACACCAGAACAAATAGAATAGTGAAATCTCCTCAGTGGGGACACAGACGGCAGTATTAAGCTGGCCATACCCTATAACCGTGATGGTGAAACTTTTAGAGACCGAGTGCCCAAACTGCTACCCAAAACCCACTTATTTATTGCAAAGTGCCAACACTGCAATTAAACCTGAATAGTGAGGTTTTAGTTTAGAAAAAATGATCCATACATAACATCTTTTGTCTTAAAAGAAAACACAATAACAGAGCTTCCACTGGCCACCCAGCACAAGGGGACAAGGTTCCACTGACCACCAGCACAAGCTGAAATCTTGTGTTAATAAAAATGAGTGTATTAAAACTCACAGCCAGTCCTATATATCCTTGACAGCGCACTGACCGGCCATGTGAAAGGTTGGACAAGCTAATGAGTTGTGATGTGTGACGTCATTGTCTGGTGACGCCACCCCTTTCCGAGCATGCGCATGGTCAATATGTGCGCTGTTATCCGATGTTCAGCTGGTGGGTTGATGCTGAGGCGACTTGGCTGACAGAGAGGGCTCTGCTTGCCTGCTGCGGCACGAGTGCCATAGGTTTGCCACCACTGACCTAGAAGATATTTAACAAACTTTTAAATAAAACAAATAAAACAATTCTCAGCACATTCAATGACTTGGCAAATGTTTGAAAATGTCTCAAAATTGAATATGCTTTTAACATTCATTGTTGGACTGAATGTCATTCCTGAACAAAAACCACATCATTGGTACAAATTTCTTCATTTCAGATAAATTTTCCATCCTGCTCCTTCGAATTTTCATTGTGGTTGATAACAAACATCATTTAACCTTAATAACACTAATGATTAGAAAATCAAATGAACGTTCCTAAAATGAAATTTTTTTAACAACATTCTACTGTGTATGGCCAGCTTGAAGGTGAGAGGGGTTTTAATCCCTCCACTCTATCCAAAACTACAAATATACTTCCACAATGAATGTGTCTGTATTGTGCAGCTTTTATATTATGAATAAATTACCTTATTACCATATGCAGTCATTTACAAACATATTTTTAACATTAAATGTTTTGCTTTGTTCCTGCTGTAGGTTGCATCCCGAGTTCCAAGGCAAATTCCCTTTTCTTCAAGAAGAGTAAGTGCTACAATAATTCCATTCTTATGCATTCATTTATCTGCTCTTCCATCATGTATAAAATGTTATTCCAGAGATCAATGTCATTATTACTAAGCCAATTAACAAATATATTGTACTTTAAGCCCATAGCAAACAAAATCAGCATCAGATATCACCTTTCATATACTTGAGTGTACTAAACTGGTGAAAACTGAAATGTGATTAGACATGAAATAGCCCTTGAAACTCTGTTATTAAAAATAATATGTGCATGCGGGTCCTTCAGTTGACTGGGAAACAATGTTGAAAATATCTAACTAAAATAAAATGAATTACTTCTCAGTACCAATGGTATTATTTTCAGTTTATCATGTTTTATTTTATGAGGGTGGGTGTGCTGAAGATTGTTCAGGGGCATTTCTGTTTACATATTAAGGAAGCTTGGAACTGCAGTATGCATAGAGTAGATCCCCCATAAGTTATTAAGGTTATAAAAAGTTATTATTAACATTGTAAGCTGTCATGTACAGGACCCTACGTACCTTCTTGTCTTGCATTGTATTGCAGGTGTACTATGCCCCTTTATTTTGTAAAGTGTTGCGCAAACTATCTGCACTCTACAAAATCCAATATAATACCACTACTACTATTACTACTACTACTGCTACTATTATGTTGTTTTTTAAGAACTTATACTTTTGCTCACATTTAGTTAAAGTGTATCTAAAGACAAAACTTTTTAAACGTTTTGAATAGATTAGCAAAGGAGTTAGAACCCCTGTTAGGTTTTAATTGATATTTGTGTTCCCTTTGGGGAGATCTGCTTTATTTGTCCTGGTGACTACTATCACTAGCACTGAAAGTGAAAACAAATCCAAAATATCTAATCTTCAGTAAGGTAACATGTTCTTTACTCTATCCAAAAAAGTTTTTGCTTCAGATATAGTTTAAATAATATTAACAAAAAATATTTAAGTATTACTTTCTCCTGATTGCTCCGGAGCATCAGCTGGTCACAAGATTTACAGAATGGTATAAAATGTAGTAGGTATAAATTATAGTCCCATTCACCAACAACTCCTCCAACATGTCTACATTTTAACCATCTCCTGTAATATATTTAGAGCCTGTGACCATTTCCTGTAGCATCTTTGGGGCCTCTGACCATCTCCTGTATCATATTCAGAGCCTATGACCATCTTATGTTGCATGTTTGGTGCCTCTGACCATCTTCTGTTGCATGTTTGGAGCATCTGACTATCTTCTGTTGCACTTTTAGAGCTTCTAACCATCTTATTTTGCTTTTTCAGAGCCTCTGACCATCTTCTATTGCACGTTGCAACCTCTGACAACTTTAGTAGCAATACATGCACTGAATATTTTGTGCAGCCCTTTAGAGATGTCAGGATGTCAGGATCACCATGTCAGCCCTTGTATCTACGTCCTCATTTGCTATGACAATGGAACTACTTGTTTCTGGAGAGATTATAAGGCTTGCAACAATTTCCAGCAAAGTTTGGTTGAATGACAGCATGGACATGACTTGATATACAACTTTTATTTTTTTTACAGGAAATCAAGCCCTTGGTTTCTGAATTCACTGTGAAATCAACCATTATATCACGCTATGCTTTCACTGCTGTGTCCTGCACCATGGTGAATCGGGCAGCTGAAGCTAAAGATGTTGTATTCCAGATGCAGATTCCAGCAACAGCTTTTGTCTCCAACTTCACTATGTAGGTACCTATAAAAACAAATTATTGTTCACTGAGAAGTTTATTCTTAAGCTGTGTTCCCAGATGCGCAGCTAAAATTAAAAATTGTGTTTCTCTCCGAATCTTCTCAAGGCTATTAATACAGTGACACTTTATAAATATGATATTACAGCTTATGTGGTAGAGCCCACTAAAGCTACTAAAAAACACCTGTAAAAATTAAGTTAAAAAGTACTGACCTGCATGTAACTTGTAATACCAAAAGGAATGGAATGAATATGGAGGCTACCATTTCAGATTTTCTTCATTTGAAGATGCTAGTTGCCGGGCTGGTAAACGTATTCATTGGCTTCAGTACTTTCTAAGTCAGTTACACAGGACAAGTATTCAAATTTGGAAAGTAGTATAAAAGTCAGAAGACCTTATCTGCATATTTGATCTGGGTCCGTGACTCAATATATTTAAACCAGAGAGTAAGCATTGCAGCCTGGCAGTTGAAATTGTCAGAATGGAAGGTCAGCAAAAATAACCTTCATAGCTCTCTTGTGACCACTTTCCTTTTTAAGATGCTTACATACTGTCCTGCCAATATAAAATATTTTGACTACTGTGCGCAGATGAAACACCGAAATGCTTGCACTCTCTTTCCACTGTAAAAAAGTTTGGCTACTGTGTCTCAGACGTTTTTTGTATGATAAAATCTGCCTTGTCTCTTATGTGTGACCTAATCAAGTGCTCACACACTCTCCTGCCACTGTAAAATATTTTTTGGCTACTATGTATTACGTAGATGCCACATTATAAATTGTATTCCAGAAAAAAAAAAACTTTGTCTATTTCTATTCAAGTACAGTGCTTATATACTGTCTTGCTGCTGTCCAGTTTCTAGTAAAACATATCTGAAGTCTATGTTTTGAATATTTATTTAAAGAATTGGGAATATGGAAATGGAAGGGAGTGTGGGAAATGTGGGGTTCTTGTGTGTAACGCGTTGATATTTTGTATAACCTTTTTTTTTTTTATCAGTAGAGCTTTTATTGAATTTGAACAGTACAAAAAACAGAGGTACACTACAAGCCAACTAATCAGCCAGTATAATAACATACAAAAGAAGTGTACTATAGTCACAATGTATAAAAATTGTATAATGTATAAAAAGAAAATCTGGCAAACCAGACAAGCATTTGGGAACAAATATATTTGTAATAACAAATGATGAGCCTAACCGTTGACAGAGTTTTTGGAATGTGGTGGATAGGAAAGACGTGGATGAAAAGGTGTATAACCATTTAAGATCATGCAGTGTGGTATTGAATAAAAAAAAGCCGATACATTGTCCTATCAAACTATTATGCTATTGGACAAATGAGGGCTTTAGCTGAGTTTTTTTTAAGAAGACACCTCCCTATGGCTTTTAGATCTGTTGTAATGGTTACTGCTCTTGGTCACAGCAGGCTTACTACCGCCTAATGAAAAAGCATATGTTGCTGCTAAAACTACCTTATTATTATTTTTTTAACAAACCAGACTAAATGTGAAAGAAAATGAAAATGTCCATTAAAATCATACTTTTCTCACCACATACTGCTTTAAAATGTATTTCCACTTTTACAGCTGAGATAACGTCTACTTTATATTTGTTACATAAATAAAAAAATATAATTGGTGCTTGACATTTAAAATGCTCTTTTCTGATAACTCCGGCACTGAAAAATTCTACTTAGTTATATTTGTTTACAGGAGGACTGGGGAACAAATATGTCATCGTAGTATTGTACAGTATGCATGACTTTTTAGTATGAGGGTATGCAACAGGAGGAATGAGACTGGCAGTTTGCAGATATAGGCACCCCAAGTGCAAGTGCCCTTTTTTTGGGGAGGGGTTATGAGAAATGGCCCTTCCCATACAGGCTATTGTGCTAAACCTGTAGTAAATAAGAGAACTAGAACTTTGCTAAGTGGAAGAGTGGGTTTGATAATAAAACTGGCATTGCCTCCACCCAGGACAGGGACCCTGTGAACAGAGGGAATTCCCTTCCTGGGAAATTAACCAGTAATCTAATCAAAGTAAGTGGGATCAGATGAACTACTTTAGCCAGCAGACAACATTAACCATAAGTATGTAGATGCACATCAGTATGCTAATTATATGGATGATATATATGAATACAATAATAACAGCACCTACATTCAAAGCACACATAGGTATGATCAGCAAAGGGCCCAACAAAGTCCTGTTGGACTTGTGCACATATACCCAGGTTTATATAATTATTACTAAAGATAGTTCAGTAGCAGGGGACCCCTAGGATGATCTGGATGTGGTTTCTGTCTCGGTTTTGGAGACAGAAGATGATCAGTGGTGATGAGGAGATCTACAACCAATGTCCAACCAGTCTGGAATGTAGCTTCTCACCAACAGAAATTGTGGTGTGGCACCGGAACTCAAAGTCAGCCTATCTACTCTGTATCTTAGTCCCTAGTAGCTTCTAATCTGTTCTGCAACTGGACAACTCTCAAGTTGCCGAATGCCTAACCTGGCTCTAACCTATACCGGTTATTGAACCCTGAGCTAAAAGTAGCTATAGAATCCCAGACAATAAGAGGCAGGGTCAGCTAAAATAACAAGAGCTGCATATAAATAGGTTCACCTTCTAATATAATGGAAGGTGACCACTACACACATACAGCAGCACAGACCTGGCTATCTAGCACTGTGCTTGTGAGATGATAAAAGTAGGAAAGAGATATGTCTGTTACAGTGATTCAGATACACACTCAAGCTATGGACAGTGGGCATTGAACTATTAGAACATAGGAATACTAGCATAAAAGTCTCTACTTCTGGTCTGGGTGAAACACAGCAGCTCCCGTGTGTGTGTGTATAAGATCAGTTCCTCTCTCTCTTTTCACCTCTTTCTTCTGGGGTTTCCAACCTAGCTAACAGCAACAGGAAGTGCATGTCTGTAACCAACTTACTCTGTGGAAAGTAACAAACAGCAGCTATTTACAAATACAGACAGTGGTGGGTAGCATATACTTACACTCCTGTAGCCTCAGTCAGGAAATCATAGAACAGGACCAGTCACTGCAGACTACACACATTGTGCTGGAGATACATAAACATAGGGGACATTTATCAAAACTGCCTAGGGCTCATGTACACTGCAGCTGATAAATTCACGTTCATGAGCTTTTCTGCATTTTTTTCAGCAGCCCCTGAACTCTCCCTAATGTTTTCCTATGTGTCCATGTACACTATGTCGTTTACAGGCAGTTGAGTTTACAGTCATTGTAAACATGGCTAACCGCGTTTATAAGCGTTTGCGTTTAAAAGCGTTTTACAACTGTTCCATATCCAAATGCTGTCCAGAGCCTTTTTTCATCATCAGAAATGCATGCAAAGCATTTTCCATGTATTCAAATGGAAAATACCTAGCACACCAGTGTAGTCAGTTCCAGGTTTTGCGTGAAGGAAAAAACGGTAGAACGTGCTGCATTATGCTCATGATGGGATCCATAGTGAATACAACTAGAAAAGATAGTTAATCTCAACACATACTGCTCTCTCTATTTCTCTCAAAATGTCTGAAATAGTTAATTTTTACTGTTTTTCAGTGCATTCTGGGCATTTTGGAAGGTCTCCTGATGTTATCTCTAAAAAACGCTCTAAACGCAAAGGCACATAAACGTGCAGAAATGCGGTATGCAAATGCGGCTAAACAGACGTTTTTAAACCTATGTTTTCCAGCAGTTAGTTTCCATCATTCAGAAGTGTATTCCAAATGTCCCATGTACATGGAGCCTTATTGTTTGCAGTTGCTTTGCTGCATCATCTATATTTTTATTGCAAATATAGGGCAGGTTTATTTTCTGTATGCAATTTGTGCAATAAATTAGCCACTGTTGAAAATGAACATATCTGCATTTGTCTAAAAGTGTTCCTTAGCAATTTCAAGTTTGGTGACAGTTCTGAGGCTGAAATTCATTGCTATAAGTACCTGAGATAAATAAATAATAATAAATAATGCAGCACAACTGAGAAAATAAGTGGATGTCACATATGCCGATGCTGCCATAAATTCCCATAATACTTCTTTTCCTTTCCATGTACTTTCCTTTCAGTATAAAGTTCTCTATTTACTTCCCCTGTTTATGAGGTTCCAGAGATTGGGATCCATCTCTTGGGGAAAAGAGGGCTAATGGTAGTTACTGCCAATGACAGCATGGCTCTGGCCATGCAACCATGATGGAATTAGTGTCTGCTTAGCATCTTCCTGTATATTGTAACCCCCAGGGAGAGATGTCTTCTGTAGCTTAAACAGATATAGAAATTATAGATCTTGATAGAGAAAGACCTGTAGAAACATATAAGAGAGGAAGGATAAGGACATTGTCAGGCCATACAAGGGACAGAGATGGTACAACGGTGGCATATGTGATGCATTAAGCCCCCCAAGTGTACTGATATTACTGGGATTATCATGTTTTTAATTCTGAATTGTGCAGGACTACATAAAAATGGATTTGCTCATGAACCATCAAAGTGAGGTAAAATTTGTGAAGAATGGAAGTGAAATTTTAAGTTTATGTTAAGCCCACAATGTTTTTGTTTTTTCTTTTTGGCTATGACAAAAATGTTTATTACACCTATATATTTTTTAAAAAAACATAATACAGTAATCCATGTTTTACACCAATTAAACACTGCCCCCCCAATCCAATTATGCATTAAAGTACAGTGATAGCACACAATAATGGCAAATTGCAAAATGGAAATGTGTAGTACCACTTGCAAAAATGTGTCATCTTAAAGGAAGTGAAGTCCCCTTTAAAAAAAAACACTGTCACTTTGCCCATGCAGGGAAAGGCCTTCATGCTTCCCCCCTTACCTATATTTCCACTCAGCTCCTATGTCCTCCACAGCCAGCAAAAACACCCTGCATTTCCAGATAGGAGGGAACATGTCACTTTATCCATTCTGCTCTTGAAGGTCTTCAGGAAGCAAGTTATCATGCTTTAGTCCACACTGTATATATTTCCTACATGATGATGGGTGAGTTCAGGCAAAAGAGTTTTTTTATTCCTTAGAAATAAAGAGGCACTGTCACATTACCTATGCAGGTCACAGGAACAAAATAGCCACTTCATAGGGTAAAGTGACATCTAGGCACTTCCAATTATGGAGAAGCATGTGATCTACCCCCTTGTGACAGTGCCCTGGCCTAGCAGCCAATTGCTAGACCTTGGCACATCATATGTCAGGCAGAGTGACGTCACCATTCCCCTGGGTTGTCAAAAGAGCTAATCTCCTTTGAAAAGGATGGTATATGGGGGTTCACGTATTAGTGTTCATTGTTGCCTGGGTATGCTCTTTAATACACACAGGCAATTGAAACATAAACTCACATTACAGTGAAATATGTCATTCTTATTCTATAAATGATACAATGGTTATCTTATTAATTCTAGGATTCTTGGAGGCAAAACATATTACAGTGAAGTCACATGGAGAAAGAAGACTGGAGACAACAATATACATGATTATGAGAAAATTAATGGTGACAGGGGGTAAGTAACACCCTTAAAAGATAAATTAGGACTTTTGAGTAATATAAACTTGAAAGGAACTCCTAAAGCCCCATTCACATTGGTACTCCTGCATTTAGTTTTTCTAAACATGTACAAGTTTTTCCTGTGTTTAGATATTTCTGCTTTAAAGCAGGTTTGGCTGCATTTACATATGTTTAGCTATTAAATTTTTTATCAGATCTTACATGCACAGAATTCTATGTAGCACTCTCCTAGCATAGGATGCTAGGTAAAATTAGTTTTCTCTCCTTCTGTAATCTAAGGAGCAATAATTGTTTGGCCTAGTCTTCCAGAGATTAGGGCAGGAGATTCAAAATAACCAGCCTAAATATTTATTAGGTTCCAGCCATCCAGAAGGGTGCTGGAGGGGCAATAAATAGTCAAAGACACTGGAGAGCAGGGTTCCTTCTCCTCAGGAGGGTTCCAGAGCCTGAGGGCTGTTATCTTCAGGCAGCCTATGAACTGTGCAGCTGTTCTAGAGGCCTCAGTGGTGTCAGGTCAGAGGGCCTGGATGAATGTTGCTAAAAGATGATTGCAGAACTTTACCACAAGAGATCTGATCTGGAGAAGGTCTGTCTCACAATCTGGAGTGTATCTGGAAGAAGCTGGAAGGTGGCAGCTATCCTGGGGACTTGTGAGTAAAGACCCTAAATTGATCTCTGCGACTGTGTAGAGTTATGGAAACTGCACTGGGTACCAGCAGTTGTGCAATAGTTCAAGATAACCAGATACCAAAAAGATTTGTTCCATGGTCCTCAGCTGTGAAGCCTTAGACTGCTCAGGAACTTGCCCCATAGTCCTCAACAATGAGGGAATAGACTTTTACCTAAGGAACATTGTTCTGTAGCTGCTGTTAGCTAATGGTTTTGGAGTATGCAATGCCCTAACCCCTCTCCTGGTAATGTTTTCAAGCATTAAATTACAAAAAGACATCCCCTAGACTGATTCATTTGAGCTGGTGTGACTGGACTGATGCTAACAGTGATGGGTAGCCTCTGTACTTGTTGGGGAAGAACCAGTTAAAACCAAGGGCACCTACGGGGGTAGCAACACATACAGTATATGTTCTCTAAACACAGCTAAACTGACAACATCTAAATGCGGGTAAAAGTTCCGTTTGAAGACATAATTGAAAAATGATTACCTGCATTTATTATGACTTTAGAATTGTCCTCTAAATGCATATACACTCATGCAGGTTCACCAGTGCCAGTATGAATGAGGCCTAAAAGTGACTTGGTCACCCAAAAATCCTGTTAACAGGTATAAGGTAGAGGCCCATACCTTTGACATGCAGTTAGCAATGCTATGTTTGAAAGCTTGGGTCACTCTCATCCGACACTTCCTGATAGCATTGAAGCTTGTTTGCTTGCTCTTACTTCCCACACATTGATAGCAACCTATCACTATGATAGACTGTTTCACTGGCCAATAGGAATGTGCATTATGCAGAAAGGGTTTGGCAAACTTTAATTTCCATATTGTGTCATGCATGAAAAGGAAGAAGGTCTTTTGGTTGCTGCAGACACCAGAAACAGTTCTTTCACTTTTTTTTTATAAAACATTTCATGATGTCACCCACTGTACATTGCAAAGAGCTTTTGAATGTTTTTTTTATCTCCATTACATAATAAGTTTACAGATAACATAAAAACTTTAAATAATAGCTATTGCTAAAAATGTTTGGCTTTAGTGCTGTTTGTGATATTGTTGGATACATTTTCTACTTCCTATTTGGTCACTAGGACAGCAAATTAGCAAAATCTCTTCAATGGGAGACACACATGATGAAATTGTTTTTTTACAAAATAGGAAGGGGGGTTAAGGCCTCTTGAATTTTTACCTGCTCCCTATTGGAATCTTCCCACTTCCTGAGAGTTTCCTGTGACGGAAAGGAGAAGAATTATTTTCCCAAACATAGACAGCAATATAACATGACAAAGGTTGTATCCCTTCTCCATCTACGGAATACTTAAAAAAAAGAGTTTTGGTTGAAGTTGGGCTTTAAAGTGGTCCTAAATGCTGAAACCTCCCTGCAGCTTCCCTCTTGACCCCCCTAATATTTACCTGAGCTCGATCTTGATCCAGCAATGTGCATGGGAGCAGCGGCTCTCCCAGGTATCTCCTTCCTCATTGGCTGAGACACAGTAGCAGGAGACACACAGAGGTAGCACAGGAGCGAGCACACACGAGTGCCCCCAGAGCAAGCAGCTTGCTCTGGGGGCACTCAGCAAGGGGGAGGAGCCAGGAACACAAGTGGGGGACCCATAAAGAGGAGAATAGGGGTTGCTCTGTGCAAAGAGCAGGTAAATATGACATTTTTTTTTTTTTTTTTAAATCGGAACCTTTAGTATCACTTTAATCATCTCGATTATTGTACCTAAGTTTCATTGCATTTTTGGGTTTATTTGCAGAGAGAATGAAATGGAAACATTTAATGCATCAGCATTCATTCCTGGAAGAGACAAAGCTATTTTTCTGCTTATGTATGAAGAGCTGCTTCAAAGACGTCTTGGAATGTATGAGCATGTAATCAGTGTACGCCCACAGCAGTTAGTTGGCCGCCTATTGGTGGAGGTCAATATTTTGGAAACATCTGGAATCACTTTTCTTGAGGTTTTGCCACTCCAAAACAATAAGCAGAAAAGTAAAAATGGTGAGTAATGGATTACATACAAGGATGTAATTAACCTGTCATGTCCCCAAGGTGCAAGGGTCTAGGTTAACATTTAATGCAGGAAGACATCATCACATGGATGACATCAGAATCCTTCTAACTGGGAGATGAACTAAAGAGTGGCAGCATTATCAGTAAACTACATTTTGTCAGGTTATGGTTTGGTGCTAAATACAATATGCCTACAATATTCAGATGTAAATCTGAAATGTATAGCAATTTTGTGCATCACATTTCTAGAAAGGACTGAAAAAAACACCATTTTAAAAAATATTTGATTTTTTATTAGTCAAGTGTTGTATATGAAATAATTAATATTAATAATTTGCATCTACTTTTGAGCCAGCCGGTTGAATTTTCATGTTTATGTTTTCAGGCTGTACCTTTGCTTTGTCAATAGAGTTTGTGTTTACAAGACTCAATAGCTTGAGATGAAATTTGTATATACTAGTCAATATATTTGAGGAATGACTTATCGAAAAGCTTACATTGAAGACAAACTAAACCTCAAAGCTAACCCATAGTGCCTGACAAATCCTTTGTCATACTTTGTATTTGTAAAACAAAAATTGTATATAGATCCTAATGAAACAAAAAAAAGTATTAAACTAAAAAGACAGAATAACATTGACCCAAAACCATTGTCATGTCCCATCAAATGACAGCAAATAAGCAATGAGTTTCCCTTTAATATCGTATGCCTCATTAATAAATGGGTGTGTGGGCTGTTGATGACTAACAGCTCAGGAAATAACATCTATCCATAAGGTCTTCATAAATGTGTTTATTTTGGAAAGTCACACAATAGATAATTTCCTCCATCAACACCTGACATTACAGAACTTCCTGACTTTCTAAGGAAAATTCTAATGAAAACCACCTAGATATGGAATCATCCCTAAAATGATCGTGTTTCTATGGAAACAGTCACAGCTTCTGATATACAGTGGCCTCAGGGAAGATGATTATATAGCAGAGAAATTGTTAGCTACTAACTTTATTACTGTAGACATTGACAGTATTTGTCTGCACAGTATATTACCCAAAATATAATGCATTATATTATAATTACATTATTATTATATGCAATAATTATTTAAAGCAGAAAATAAACTCTCCTATTCTTTAAAACCAAGAAAGCTGCCATCTTAGCCTCTGTTTTATCTGCTGTTGCCATGGTGCTGCACATGTGATCAGTTATGACATTAGCCATTTGATGGCTTGACAGTTTGGTGGAGAGCACAAGCAGCTTTGACAGTTATCATTCATAGCATGCCTTGAATGTGTCTGTTTTGGGAAATAGTTCAATTGATGGGTTTAACTTGGTGGCATTCCATAAAAAATGGATTTAAATACTTAAATGCGTATATCCCCAAAGCATATCTAAACCCAAAAGCAAAAATGTCATATATTGTAACCTATCTGTCTTTAAATGTAGGGTGTGGGAATTAAATTCCAAATGTAGAGTTTTTAGCCTGTCTAATGTGGGGGTGCAGTAAAAAAATGTCAGGGTGGCAGAGGATGGGAGATCAGCAGGGCAGAGGACAGGGGTAACTGCTGGCAAAGCAGAGGACAGGCAGAGCAGAGGACTTTCTCCCATCCCTGCACTGCACACAGCCTGGGCACAGGCAGCAGAGCTCTTCCCCCCCACCACACAATGCAATGGAAGTATAGTGTCAAACTAAGGCGATAAAGTATCAGATTAGGGTGGTATAGTGTCAACTAAAATCTGGGGGGGGGGGGATAGCCCACACCTGCACCCCCCTAGATCCGGCCATGATTCAATCGCCCCTGCCCACTTTTATTCATTACCAAAAGTTTGTTTATACAAGAGTTTATACATGGATTTACCTCGCAGAGGTTCGCAGTTTATCACAAAACAACACCTTCCATTCATTATCTGCAGCAGTGTGTGTCTCTTTACCCGCAGGTGGCTGCAAAAATCTTCCTCCTTCATACTCACCAGATACTGCCCTGAGTAAATCTTTTCTGGCACTATGAAGGTTAATAGCAGCTGTGGCTACTGAAAAAAAAGTTGCATCACTTGCCCATCGCCTTCGGCTGTCTTCGTCATTCAGATTTAATTTATTACTATTTTCGCACAATGCAATATGTTCCGTGAATGGAAGGAGCAGATGAATGACACAATGAATACAAGCAATATGAATGGTGGAGAAGGCTGAAGTAGGCAAGCAAGTGGCCCGACTTCTATAAGATTAGCAGTGGTGGCTGTTACCTCTCACAGTGCCAAAAGATAGCACTCAGGGCTCTGAAGAAGTAACAGAACTGAATTTTTACCAGAGTCAGCTGTCTGCAGGTAATGGGATACACACTATTACACATAGCTAATATGTTTGGTGCTGTATCCCAGAAAATGAAAAAGCAAAGTTCAACTTAAAAAAAACAAAACTACCTTTTCATTTTTAAAATCAGTCTCCAAAGAAGTGGCTCTGCCAAAATATTGTCTTTTAGGGGTAGATTTACTGAAACTGGAGCACTCAGAATCTGGTGCAGCTGTGCATGGTAGCCAATCAACATCTAACCTCAGCTTGTTCACTTAAGCTTTGTCAATAAAATCTGAAAGCTGATTGGTTTCTATGCAGAAGTGAGCCTGATTTTGCACTTTCCAGTTTTAGTAAATAAACTCCTTAATGTATGCCTAAACAAAGCCGTCTTAGAGAATTATATTATCAGTCTACTCCAATCATGAATGCGCATTTCAAAAAATGAAGGAAGTAGGGTGGATAATATGGGTAAGACAGTGATAGGGAGACTGAGTGTTAACAGTAGTGTGACAGTAGGAAGGTAAAATCACCTGGTTGTGTCCAGGATGGCAGGCACATTTCTCCGAGATTCAGGCTGTATGTAGATTTATTCCACTAGTGGGAAGTGCTGAGCCCTTCAGCAGTGAGGTAATGAGCCCAGCTGAAGCAAGTAGGCTCATTAAGGCCTCTATAAAACTTCCCAGCCTGCAAAGCGAGTTGCCTGGAACCAGTCCTGTGCCTGAGTAGACTGGGGAACGTCATATCTGTCAAACACCTGTGTGGAAAGCCTTTAAAGAACAGGGCTACAGGCTACACCTAGGTGATAGCGAAGGAAGCTATGTGTATAGTAAGTGGCCAAGTTGGCAAGGATTTATTTTCATGTTTCTTTTTGTTTTGATGTTTTTCCTCTTGTAAATAGTGTAAATAAACCGCAACTTTGTTTTCTCACCTAAACTGCTGTTTTGCTGTGCCTGTTTTGTGTTATTAACTCATCCAGGGGGTCACACACACCCGCTGCTGAGCTAACCCCTTTCCACGGTGGAGGATGCGGGCAGTTTGTGGTAAATAAAGACCAGGAAGGTGAATCCCAGGAATCCTCTGAGTGTGGTGAGGACTCTCTTGAGTTCCCCTTGTCAGTATTAGCAGGGGAGACTCAAGGAACTAGGGAGGAGCCTACATCTTCAGGCAAAAACATGCTGGCTGTTGAGTTTTCTGACTTAGAGGTTCATAGGGAAAATTTTGCCACCAAGCAGTTAATAGAAGGAGAACTAGTGATCCCAGATATGACTTGTGCTTATCCGTACTTCCTTGTGGAAAGGGAACTACTAAATCGAGTCGCTCAAGGGGCGGAAGAAACCATTGAGCAACTGGTGGTGCCCAAACCTTACAGGACGTTGGTGTTGGAGTTGGCCCATGGACACATCTTTGGAGGTCATTTGGGGGCAGAGAAAACACGGGAGAGAGTATTGCAGAGATTCTATTGGCCTAGGGACATTAAGGAGATAGAAAATTACTGTTCCTCCTGCCCTGTGTGTCAGAGGTCAACCCCTATACCCCATTTCTGTAGTTCACTCGTACCTCTTCCCATCATTGAGGTCCCTTTTCAGAGGATTGCAATGGATTTGGTAGGTCTGCTGGTGAAGTCCGCTAGGGGGCATCAGTACATGTTGGTCATACTAGACTATGCCAACCGCTATCCAGAATTCCGCTCCAAAATACCTCTACCAAGACGATAGCTAAGGAGCTATTTCTTGTTTTCAGCGGAGTGGGTATTTCAAAGGGATTGCTTACGGACACGGGTACCCCATTTATGTCCTGGGTGATGAAAGAACTGTGCAAGTTGTTCAAAGTGTCAGGGCTCCCAGGTATGACCAGAGATGTGTGACTGACGCAGGGAAACGCAGACTTCAGATATGGGATAAACAATATAATTTATTAACACTAACAATACAAACATAAACGCAGTGCAATACTAAACATAAATACAGTGCAAACAAACCAAACCAACCACCCACAGATAACAGCACATACAAGCAAGCGTCGTCAGGCAGGCCGGGTCAATATCAATTGGGCAGGTAGGTACAGGGGGAGCAAGCGGAGAATGGTCGGGGTCACAGGCCAGGTTCAGCAGGTAGCAAGCAGCGTAGTACAGAGGGTCAGGCAGAGGGATGGTCAGGGTCACAAGCCAGGGATCAGGACAGGTAGCAAGCAGCGTAGTACAGAGGGTCAGCAAAGGACAGAAACAGGATGCAGGACAGATACAGGGCCCAGGAACAAACACACACCAAGGCAGAGTCTGTGGTCTGGCCATCCCTTAAATACCCCAGCATAATCAGTTCCAGGTGTTAGCTGGCTGCAAAGTTGAGTCTCTGATTGCTGGGAGCACCCGCTGGCCAGCCCTGGTACTGCAGATCAAAAGGCAGGTGAGTCCCACCATTGCTGGCCAGTCCATTCCTGACAGTACCCCCCCCTCAAGGAGCGGCCTCAGGACGCTCCAAACAGTCCTAGCTGGGAAAAATGTTCCACCGCCCGGGTCTGGTAACTGGCGGGATATCAAAGACTGGCACACCTGGCAGGACTCCGGGCAGCGGTACACCAGGCAGAGGCACATCGGGCTGGACACCGGGCAGAGGCACATTGGGCTGGACTCCGGGCAGAAGCACATCGGGCAGAGGCACACCGGGCTGGACTCCGGGCAGAGGCACACATCGGGCA